TATCAACATGGTCAAAAGTTGACTTAAAATGTATCAAATATTATACAAAAGAATTGTGAAGAACGTTTGTACATATGTCACTCATCATTGTAATGCATTGCATTATATATTTTTTTAAATAAAGAGTGAAAACTGATATTTGCATGCATTTTTTTGCGTATTTTTGTGCAGATTTGGCCTCTACATAAAATTGAGAGTTTTTTTCCTCAGGTGTGAGCTCCAAATATCATACTATATATATATATATATATATATATATGTATATATATACCCATATATATATATATATATATATATATATATATACCCATATATATATATGGGTAGTTGACAATATGGGACTTTTGTGTCTGTTTTGTTTAGTTTGCACAGAAAAAAGAATTCAACCAATGCAATTTAGAAAACTCATAGAAACTATTATACATTTTGATACATATATATATAATATATATATATATATATATATATATATATATGAAATATTTAGGTTCAATATTCAATTTAAAGGAAAAAATATTTTTCTGACTAATATTTCATATAGCCTACAAGGTTAATTAATTTTATTGTTAATTTAGCCTATGTAAGCTTTTTAAAAAGCTCTTTTTTCAAGAACTATAACAAATTTCCTGGAAAATACTCTTTCCTCAAACTAGCCTACACGAAACTAAAACTTGACTGAGATTCAAACACTTTTGAATGAGTGTTTTGTCAGTTAATCCTCTTACACTATTACGTGAATGGTTTTGGTTTTAGTTTTGAGAACGTCATCTGGTTTTCAGGAAATCTCTAAATCGGTATGAATGGTGTTTGTATTGGAATGAAACCACAAAAAAGAAAGAAAAAAAAAAAAAAAACCCGCGTCACATCCGCTAATGTTTCATGGTTTGTTGTGCATGGTTTTGGGGAAAGGAACAGGTGTTCCAGAGAATTCAGTTCCCCTATTTCCCCTTCACTGCGTTTGCGCAACATCAAGACGAAAATCGGTAATTGCATTCAGGCTTTAACGTATAGAAAGTATTGTTTTCAAATGCTTTATTGCTCAATCGTTAGTCCGATCCCTTAAAAATAACCAAGGTTTATAGCAATATCAAGCTTGTCATATCGTGTACCATTTTTATAACCACACAAATACAATATTTAAACTATGGTTCATTTGTGGTTGCCATGGAATAACCAACCATGTTTTGTTTTTTTGTATTAAAACCATGGTTAATTTTCGTAAAGGATGTAGCCTACCTGCTAATCGTTTGCCCTGGTTTCTTTACATAACGACTAATGTGTCAAGTTTAATTAATTTCCACGACATTCTAATTTATTGAGATGCACCTGTATCCCAAATAGAATTGTAAATTTCTAGTTCTTTTAGGGGCGTTCTCTTATTCGGACGGTCTATATTTTATTATTATTATTGTTGTTGTTGTTGTTGTGTGTGTCGTTTTTGTCACAAAGCCTTATTACGTTTTGTTGCACACATAAATAAACTATATTGCATTGCACAATAAGCAGTCTGTGTTGATAATGCTGAGAACACAGGGTGAACATTTATAATACCTTCTGAGAATTTATAACACACTACAGTGATGCTGCTGATGTATTTAAGTGTCATGATGTCTCTTTTTTTATATGACTATTATGTTAACCCTATATGGCGTTTGGAGTCAAATGCCCACATTTGAGCTTTCCTAAGTTAAAAAGAAATATGTTTTCCTTCATCAGAGAGGCATCCGAATTTTTTTTTTTTTTTACAGTAGCCTATCTATATTCACGCACAGAAAACTTGGCTTGATTCGGTTGTTCGAAGAAAAAAAAAATCCATCACTCATAAAAAAGAAATCCATTAATCCAGTATAAATTTGAAAATTTCCACACAGAAATGAAGGCCTGGTAGCATACTAGAAATGGCATTGCACAAATGCAATGTAGCACAGACACACATGCACAAGCTCAGAAAAAAACCCCACAACAAATTCCTCGTGTGTTTGCGCACACCTGGCGAATAAAGCTGATTCTGACAAGTGTGACTGCTACAGAGGGCATTTTTAGAGAATTTGGCAAATAACATGCAGCAAATGCAGAACACAGATAGATGAAGGGGTGAGATCTAATGCATGTACGCGCACTACTCACAGTAGTGTGTTATAAATCCTCAGAAGGTATTATATATGGAGGGAACCAGTTTTCCCAGACCTCCAGGTAAATCTGCTCTCACTGTGTTCTTAGCGTAAGACACTGATCTATGGATTAAAGTTGTTACATAATGAGGATAGGGTTATCAACACAGACTTGTGCAATGCAATAAAGTTTATATACGTGTGCAACAAAACTTAAGGTTGTGTGACAAAAACGACACACACAATAATAATAATTATAATAGTCTATAATAATAATAATAATGATAATAAAATATAGACCGTCCGAATAAGAGAACGCCCCTAAAAGAACTAGAATTTTACAATTCTAACTGGGATATATCCGTTAATTAAACTTGACGCATTAGTTATGTAAAGAAAGAGAAACCAGGGCGAAAGTAAAGATTAGCAGGTACATCCCTTACGAAAATTAACCATGGCTTTACTACGAAAAAAAAAGAAAAGAAAAAAAAAACATGGTTATTATTGTGGTTATTCCATGGTAGCCACAAATTAACCATAGTTTAACTACGGAGATAAAGGTATTATAAACACTATAAACTGACACGCGATGATAGCACACAATCCGCTCGACAGCGCATGCGCGAAAACATGAGGACGTGATTTTCGTCTTGATGTTGCGCAAACGCTCTGAAGGGGAAACAAAGGAACTGAACTCTCCGGAACACCTGTTAACGCGTGAATGAAGCGGCGAGAGAAAGATGCTGTCTCAATGTGCCTACTTATACTACGCCCTTAAAGTATGTACTTTTTTGGTGAAGAAAAAGTACACACTTTTGAGGGTGTAGTAGAAGAGTAGGCAAGCTTTGGGACATGCTATCACGTCACACAACTGCGTCTTTAACGGACGCTCTGTCGCATAGATACACGCACCCTGTCACTGTAAACTGGCCTGTCAATCATCTTGTCACAGTTAACATCCTCCACATCGCATTTCATTTAACTTCCTACCGTATTGGAGAGAAAAGAAGTAGCACATTGATCTGCCAGTCGCGGGTCTTTCATGCCGAGAACTCTGCTCATATTTTATGCATAATGATGCATTTAAAAGTTAACGACCAAACGGATGTTTATAAAAGTTTACATTTCTGTTGCACATGAAATATAACACAGATAACATTAAATAAATATTTTTTTACCAGGTTAAATGTTGAATATTAGTAACTCAAACTCTACCTAACCGCCGGTCGCGCACATCCGCCATGTTTGTAGTTTTTTAACGCGTTTATTCGTGTTTGTAGTTCTGGACAGAATCCTTCACCAAATGGATTGTGGGCAATATTAGCCATTAAAGTGTGCACGGATCCACTCTTCAAAAATCGACCAGACCATCCGGGGACTTTTGGCATACTCTTTTCAACATACTATGCTTTGGGACACACTTATTCTAATCTCACATACACACCATGAATCCATTTTCCAAACTGTGTTTTTGGCTTATCCTGAATCACTATGGTACACCTATACTAAGTGTTTATATTCAGACTATTTTAGACTGGTTCGGGTATGTACCGCTGCGGAGTAGCCCAGCACCTGCGTGATGCGCCATAGACATAAACAGAGAGAAGTAGCTCCGGCTACAATGTTCTTCCGCAAGACGCATGCAGTTCGGTTTATTAACAGCTAGAGCGCCAAAAGTTACGGACTGCAGCTTTAATAAAACACAATCTAATTGGTAGCAAATGCAATTTATTGTTATTTTTCGGCCGTAGCTGTACCCCTTCTAGCCACAACCGAGAGTGTCATGTGACACCACCTGTGTGACGTCGCAGCCAGTTTGCAGCGCAGGTGGTAAATCCCGGAAAACACAAACGAGCAAAATGTTTGTTATCTAAATGAAAGAGTCTTTCTCGACAGTTTTGCAAGCGAATATAATTGCTGTGATAAAAAAGGTAAGTAAAATGATAATCTCTCAATGTATATACTTTGTTTTCTTTATTTGGGAAACAGTGCTAGATTGTGTAGGCTATTGGTAAAGCAAAACCAATAGCCCAATATCTTTTTTTTTTTTCTCACCTAAAAGATATCTTGTTTTATTAACCGTAACAATATACTTTGTGTTTTACTTTACATCAAGATAGACTATATATTGCTGTAAAATAAAAAAATAAAAATAATATCCTTCAGGTAAAGAGTATGTAGGCTATTTCTTATAGGCAAACACATTAGTAAAATCTAATTTCTTCATACTATAACTGTGATTATTCTTTACTCATCTTTAATACCTCTCCCTCCTCGTGTCAGAAGGCTGTTCACCATGTCTAGACCTGACCGTGTTGGACTGACCCACTGTAAGTGTGTCCTGCTGTTTGCAGTCTTTATGGATCTTTTCGGTGTGTCTGCTCTTCTGATCGGCGTCTTCGTCCCGCTTGAAATCGGGGGTCGTGACTTTGGTGATCTGTTGGTGTATTCGGGAGCTCTGCTGGTGTTGATGTCTATGGGGGGTTGGGTCATGTGGTACAGTGGGAATATTGAGGGTTTGATATCAGGGAATGAGCTGACACACAAACGCAATGCCGTGGACCGGTTCGCTCGCACCCTGAGTCGCCGCATACGGAAAGCCCACCGCAGCCACAGCACATCCTGACCTCTGACCTCTAGACCTGGCTGAGAGCACACACAAAGGGCTTGGGATACCACAAATAAGGCCAAAATCTCAGTTGGAAACTAAGGAAAATTGGATGATAAAGAACGTTTTATAAGGATGAAGGTTGACGGATACAGTATAATTGTTACGATGTGGTGTTTGCTACTACTACTATAAAAGTATGAAATTGCAGTTATTTGGTAATACCTGTACTGTAGTGCTTTATGCATTTTGACAGTTGTACGTATGCGCTGATATTTTTGTACACGTAATTCTGTATTTCTTTTTGCAGCAAAACTTTTTTTTTTTTAATATCTTCTGTTGTACAAAACATGGGTGATTAAGTTTCAAGCACTGATAAATTTTTCATATTTTAAAATTAAACATGTAGCTTTAGTGCTTTATTTTAATAATACTGAATCCCTTTTCAGATCAAAACTCAACAATTTATAACTATAGTGAAAATGTATTTGCAAAGTTGCACATTTTCATAACACATCTTCCAGATAACAAAACATTAACACAACATTAAAGTCACTTTCTCTCTCACTCATTAAATAGGTAGAGCCACACATTCCCCCATTCAAAAAATACTGCAAAAAAAAAATGCCATACAGAAGCCTCCATTATTTTTACAGCAAAGAAACCAACAACCAAAAATAATACAATCAAAAATAAAACCTCACCATAAACACCAAACCTAAAAAAAATATATATATATATATTTGTTCAGATTGAAGTATAGATGTAAATGTCACAAAATGTAGGTAGTGTGTCAAACTTGGTCAGTTTCTTATCATTTTGACATTTTTGTTTGTGCAAGTTTCCAGTTGATCTAATGCACGACAAGCAACCAACAGATTGTGTTCGAAAATACTCATGACCAGCAGCATTTCAGTTTAAATGCATCACTCCTCATGATTTGAAATAAAAAAAATAAAACTATATTAATAATTTCTGGCCTAGCATTACATTCAAAACCTGTCTTTGTTATGGTATTTAGGATGATTGTGTACAAAAAAAAAAAATCACTGGTCAAATACAGAATAAGACAGAATTTGAAAACATACACTAAGACACACTGGAGAGATCCTGTTGAGCAGTTCTTTAAACAAACAAACGATGTAATTTAAAGTCAGTTCACCAAAAAAAAACTAAAATGAAAGTGCAGAATGAAGGTCCAAATTTACACGTTTTAGAACTGTTAATGCTTTACTTTGACTTTAGCCCTATAATTCCCCTTGGGAGCATCTATAGAAGGGGGACAGAAGAAAAGTAATGCATTGTACTATGTAGTACAATCTTATCCCGATAAAGCTCAAAGACTGTTTGAGTGAACAGCTGAAGTGCTTTCAGAGGGTGGGGCTTGGGATGGAGGGGGTGGGGCTCTGCCAAATAATCATGTGACTTCGTTCTGATCTCTGTAGGACAGACTCACTGGCCCCATCACTTCCATCATCTCCTAAAGAGGAAAAAGTAGTGAATTATATTCTTATCTTTAAAAAACAAACATTCTCAATGGAAGAATAAAAAATATATAAAGTCACAGATAATAACTGTGCCAAAAAGAAAAGTCGCACCAATTCGGAAGTTGATGTATCCTTCCCCGCCACTGAGAATGAGCTGAGAGGTAGTAGTAGCGCCATCTGGTGAATTGGAGGAACTATGGCAGCCTGCATTGATTAAAAAAAAAATCAAAAAGAAACAAAAGTAGTTAAAAATGTTTTTACATTTTTAGATTCTTCCCAATACTGTTGTCAATACTGGCCTTCCGTCTACTCTTACTGAAAGTAAACAATATTTGTTTCGAACCTGGAGCAGAAATGATGAATTTAACTGCTTGTCGGTGGCCATGGTAACAGAGCTGAGCTGAAGCAAGAGAGCAGTATGGTATAGAGCAGGACTCTGAACCTGCCAAAAAACAAAACAATGTAGATCAAAAAATGTAGAAGTTTCACGATCCAAAACCACTCAAGAATAGTTCATTTTAGTGGGAAAAAACTCACTGAGGGACAGGGGAACTGAGAAGACTGCACCACTTCCTGTTCCCACCCACAACCGCCCACTGACCACAGACAAGGCTGTGATCTGAAGAGGAGAGAGAGACAGGAATGCAGAGCCTGCGAAATAGAGATAGATAAATAAACATTAAATACAAAAAAAAAAATCATACAATACAATCATCTAGGGAAGCACGATATATCAGCGACCATACCGGTATTGGCCCGATAAATGTTCATTTTTACTGTTATCGTTATCGACCTAATAAGAAAATTTGGCCAATATTTTAAAGCTGATAAATAATGCATTATTTCCTTCAGAGACACTTCAGATGCGCCCTGTTCGCCATGATGGTATTAAACTGCTTGAAATATGACTGGAATCACTTCGAAAAGGAAGTCTGTAATATAGGCTACATAAAATTATAATGAGAACATTACTGTAAAATAATGTTATGGAATCTTTGTTAGCCCATTTTAGGGCATTGTAACAGGAAGAGCGCATCCACAATGGAGCTACACGCTATGTATTTTGTACATATATAAGTTATAATATTATGTTTATGTTGTATAAATATCTGATTAATCTCATATAGGATGCGTTTCCTGGAGTTAAATAAGCTGATAGCAAAGCACTTCAGTTTATCAGTGTTGGTAATAGGAGTGATAAGAGAAATTAATTTTAAAACTTACACTGGTTCAAACTAGGCTGCTGTAATGTATACGTTTGATTTATGTTGAAATGTTTGGGACATGGCTTTTAACAGTGAGACTTTTGTAATCAGGGTCTCAAAAAATTATATAAAAAATTGGATTTAGATTTATCGGCCAACATATCAGATATCAACTTTCAAATATAAAGAATTATCGGTTATCGTTATTGGCCAAAATGTTCATATCGGTGCATCCCTATAATCATCTGTCACTTTGATTCACTTTTAATGCATCCTTGCTTGATAAATGTATTAATTCCTTTTCAAGATTCAAGATAAAAATTCACTAAATCACTTTTAAATGATAGACACCCATGCATGTAAAATTCCATGAATTACCCATATTAATGAATAAATACAATTCAAATACCTAAAGCTTTAGTCACTATGGATGATAAATCTACTTCCTGTAGAGGGTGGCCAGTTGTCCAATCAAAAAGCCTAAGAATGGGATCCAAACGGCATGCAGCCCAAACGCCACTTCCTGCTGCGCACAGAAAACGCACCTGCTGCTCACTTCGCTCAGACACTGTGAACAGTTTCTAAATGGACAGAAAGAGAAATGTGAACGAGTGAGAGTGAGGATCTGAAGCACAAGATGAACAATCAATGACACCTTTTCCATCCGAGACCAACCTCTACTTTCCGAATTTTCACACTGATCATGTAAACTTTATTCCAGTATCCCACCCAAAGACAGCCATCCTTTGCAAGGCAACAGCGAATGGGCTGCAAAGGTGGTGCGCCAAGCGAAAGCACCTCTTGAGACTGGAGATTCCAGATGCCTAGAAAAATGATCATTACAAGCCATAAAAACAATTCATATCTAAAAAACACACCCAAGCAGACTAAACCACAAACACACACCTGAATTGTGGGTGAAGAATGCAAGCGTCCCATTGGCCAAGCCAGCGATCACCTCGCCCTGAGAATACCTTCACATACAGGAGGAATTCCAACAGAAACCTCAGGAATTTCATTCACATCAAAGATGACATAAACTGACAGTGATTCAAAAGACTCTTACGTCAGAGAGTGAACCCCCTCAGAAAGACTGACAGACTGCAAACAGCGGCGCCTGGAGCTGGAGGATGAATGAATCAGCACACTGCAAGAGGACAACATGAGTAGATGAGTCCCATACAAAAAAATTATTAAACAATTAAGCCAGTTATTTCTATCTTTTACTGTAGTGTGTCAGTAATATCGGTTTACATTTCCAAACATTCCTTTAGCCATTAATTGATTATTACTGTGGCAACGTCTCCAAGATGCTTGAAGAAACCTACCTGCAAAGCTACCTGAAAAACTATGCAAGGACAAAAGCTGTTTTAAACGCAAAGGGTGGTCGCACCAATTATTGATTTGATTTAGTCAAATTTAGTCATCCTCATTTTACAGCAGTTTTACACAAGTGCCTAAAACTTTTCACAGTACTGTGGCTTTGTAGGAAGGTTTCTTGAAGCATCTTGGAGACGTTGGAGTCGGTCTCAGTTTGTTCTGTTTCTTCTTGATGGTGAGATCAGATCTCTGTGTGGAGCACTGGCTGCTGTCAGACTCCTTTTGCAAACAAAAATCTCACTGGATTATTACAATTAATAGCAAAAGGAATGTTTGGAAATGATATTTCCTACTGACACAATACAGCAAAAGATGGAAATAACTGGCTTAAAACCATTTTTTTTGTTTGTTTTTGTTGAAAATGCAGCTAAATGCTACTAATGACCTAAGCTTTTTGCAAAGTAATGTGCATGTGTGTGTTTAGAGGTATTTATTTCCATAAACTGAACTATGCATGAAAGTTTAATAATTAATGTTAGGGATAAAAATGTATATGGGCCATTCTACAGAATTGGTCCAAACTGCTGTCCCAAAACCAAAAAACACATTTAAAAAGCATTTAAGTATTCAAATCTTAGTTTACTAAGATCCTTCTATTCTCCATTGAAACCCACAATACTATTTAAAATATTAGTAAGCTTAATGTATATAAAATCGCTTAAAAAGCAAAATAATTTTTATTTCTCCTCTTTCCTATTACTTGTTTCACTTCTGTTTCAGTTTTTATAACCATTTCTTACTATGTGTAAGTAAGTTGTTGTTTTTTAGCATGTAAGTTTGGCAGTGTTATTTTTTAGGATTACTGATAAACTACTGTCATTTGATTTGTATTATTTGTATTTGTTATTTATTTTAATTTTAGTTACATTATGTCTGAATTTATTATGTCTGTATAGGTCTTTTATTAAGTTTTAGTTTGATTTAATTTGAGTTATTTTAATACTTCAACAAACCACATGGAATTGGATAAAAGTGTCTGCTAAATGACTAAATAAATAAATAAAATCGTCATTTATTGGGTACCCTAAACCCTAAATTTCAACTTATGAAAATGATATTGAAATAATTTTTGCATTTTTTCCCATTGTTGTTTTTAAAAATATCTTTTTGATTCTTTTAAAAAGTTAAGTTAAAAAAAATATTTATTTTATATTTTCTTTGTTAATTATGAAACTTGTGTTAAAAAATGTGTCCCGTATTTTCATGTCACTACCGAAACAGTGCATGTTTTAGTCCATTGGCTGAGACTGAAATTAACATTTATGATCAGGAAATATTTATGTGTCACTCTCTCTCATAGCTACAGGGTGAGTAGATAGGCCCCATCATTTTGAGGTAAATGTGTTCAAAAATCTGTGTCACTACCAAAGGAACGTCACTACCGAACACAATTTTTCTGCAATTAAGCACACTTTTTTAGGAGTTATTCCATATTTAATTTTTATGTGTGTACAACTGTTCAGAACTGTGCTAGCCAACCATGTGCTGATTAGCATCTTTGAGATAGGTTCAAAAGTATCTAAAATTGTCACTACCGAAACATTTGGTGGAGTTTCAGTAGTGACATCTTTGTTTTTTGGGTGTTATCCCATAAAATTGTCACGACCGAAACATGTCATCATGGTTTCGGTAGTGACAAAAGGGAACACATAATCCTCATATTTGGGGGAAATAAACAAAATATTAGTACAGTTATGCAGTTTTGTAGTATTTTAGTATGTTTTAGTATGCAAGTTAAAATTCTGTAATGCGATGTGGTCGCTACCAAAGCATTACTGTCACTACCGAAAATGTGCAGTCACTACCGAAACATGGGATGTTTTGTCAAAAATAAAGTATACTGAATTATCAACATTTAGAGATAAATGTGTTCAAAAGTCTGAAAAATCTGTGTGCGACTCTAAGGAACTTCACTACCGAAAACCTTTTTTTCTGCAATTAAGCACACTTTTTTGGGAGTTATTCCATATTTAATTTTTATGCGTGTACAACTGTTCAAAACTGTGCTGGCTAACCATGTGCTGATTAGCATCTTTGAGATAGGTTCAAAAGTATCTAAAATTGTCACTACCGAAACATTTGGTGGAGTTTCAGTAGTGACATCTTTGTTTTTTGGGTGTTATCCCATAAAATTGTCACGACCGAAACATGTCATCATGGTTTCGGTAGTGACAAAAGGGAACACATAATCCTCATATTTGGGGGAAATAAACAAAATATTAGTACAGTTATGCAGTTTTGTAGTATTTTAGTATGTTTTAGTATGCAAGTAAACATTCAGTAATGTGATGTGGTCGCTACCAAAGCGTTACGGTCACTAACGAAAATGTGCTGTCACTACCGAAACATGGGATGTTTTGTCAAAAATAAAGTATACTGAATTATCAACCAAGATGATATGATAGTTTTTGGTTCAATGTATATTCAAAATAATGAATCCTTAACTTTGAAATCAGTATGATCAACTTTTTGCCTAACTTGGATTCAAAATACAACAAATCTCATAAATTACACGAAGTATTGTTAAAAATGTAATTGTTATTGATTTACCTCTGAAAAAGATAAAATAGCAACAACAAAAAAAAAATTATATATATATATTTACAATGTAGATGTAAGCAAAATCTTAATAGGTCAATATAACCCTTCTAATTAAATTATTATTACTGTGTTTCGGTAGTGACAAATTTGGGGAGAGGACAAATATTCCAAAACTTTCAGAAAATACAATATGAGGATTAACTGCACAATTACTAGAAATGTGTACCATGGACATTATACAAATTGCATACATACAAATTTTTTGGGAAAAAGACACATTTTTTTCAAGACGTTTTAAACTCTGACTTTGGACCAGTTCTGTAGAATGGCCCATATAATAAAGTAAGATGAAATGAATAAGAATGACATGCCCTCACCCTCCATCCTGGGTTCCAATCCACACAGTTCCCGCAGTATCTCCTAACACAAGTGGAGATATAATTGAAACACGATTCAGTGAAACACATTAACACTCAGTAACTCATAGAAAATCCCACTGCTAGACCAGCTACTACTACTAGAATTTTAAGAAAAATGCCATGAAAGCTTAATGAAGATAAATGTAATAAACTATTAACTATAGACAAGGATGTAAAATATTGAGTAATTTTAAGTTAGCTATGGGTAAAGTGTAGAAAATGCCAAAGAATGGTCTTGCTAAGATACTCTAAATAAATTCTAAAGTGTAATATTATTTTCCTCAACTTTCAGGCGGGCGGGCGGGCTTGAGAACAGCGCGGCCGGCGGATTCGACGAAAGAGCGTCCTGCGGGCTTACGGCAACCACATGTGACGACCCCGGGCTGGACTCTGATTGCATCAACTTTGCGCTGTGGATCACCGAATCGGCTTTCACTGTGGATGAAGTGGAGTCCAGCCCAGGGTCGTCACATGTGGTTGCCGCAAGCCCTCCGGACACTCCTTCGTCGAATCCGCCGGCTTGAACCTTAAACCGCATAAACACATTTCATTACACCAAATACACAAAATAATGTTCTTTTTAGCAACATCATATGACCCCTTTAAAATAGAAAGCAGCTATTAAAAATTGCAATAATATGTCACAATATTACTGTTTTACTGTGTTTTTCATCATATAACTGATATAAGACACTTCTTTTACAAACTTATACATTACCAACCCCAAACTTTTGAATGGTAGTGTACTCTGAAACCGCAAGAAGTAAAAAGCAGCATTTTCCCACCTTGTAAACAGTGTAAATTTTAAGGTATTCAGTTTGAGTAATACTCAAGAAAAGCACAAATTATACTTAAAGGGATAGTTCACGCAAAAATGAAAATTACCCCATGATCCGCTGGAACGTCACTCTCTCATGAACACGTGTAGGACAGTTAGTGAAAGCTAGAGATTACAGTTTATAAAGTTGTAAATATGGATATTTTTCTTACACAAATGCATTGCATCGTTTAAGAAGGCCTTTATTAACCCCCCGGAGCCGTGTGGAGTACTTTATATGTACTTTATATGACACTTTATTTTGCTTCAAAATCTCGACCAGCATTCACTGCCATTATAAAGCTTGGAAGAGCCAGGACATTTTTAAATATAACTCAGATTGTATTCATCTGAAAGAAGAAAGCCATATACACCTAGAATGACTTGAGGGTGAGTAAATCATGGGGTAATTTTCATTTTTGAGTGAACTATCCCTTTAAGATAATACTTAAGTACTATTACTCAGATATCATCCCTGACATCAGAACACTTATTCAATCATTACTGATCCAGGTGTAAACACTTGTGTAAATTCTACAAAGCTGCAGTGCTCAGACTGACCAGTAGGGGGCACAGCACAGATGCATAATGCAGGGGATGTGGGTGGAAGGCTGAACTGATCCAGAATGGTATTGGAGCGTGCCGGGTCAATCACTGTGACATCACTGCTGGAAGCAGGTCCAGTGATGGCCCACACAGAACACTGAGGATGGGAGGCGGGGTGTGAAATGTTTACAACAATGAATGACATGATGCAACATGGTAATTAGATGAAGGTGGTGGTTAAATGCATTTTTGTACAAGAAAACAACCTGTTCTGTAATACAAGGTTCCCACATTCAAGGAAAACCTGAAAATATGAGGGAAATTCAAAATTGGGATTTCCAGTCCTGGAAATTTCTATAGTGAGTACATTTTATTCTAGTTATGCTTTGCTCTAAAATATTTAATTGGCTAAAAATGGCTTGTTATGAGTGAAAAGTGTATGAAATTATTTTTAATAACCAGTAATCACAAATGACTTAAAAACAATGGGAATGCATTGGTCAGATGGTGTGGGAACCATACATGTTAATTAGCTGTAAAAGATTGTGAAGGTTTGTTGAACGTACCGTCTGCTCTCCTGATATCTCTGGAGGAACTGCGACAGCACAAGTGAGCTGTGAAAGATTAAACATTTATTAATCAACATCCTTTAGATCCCTGACCTTGATCTCCACTGGCTAAAATCAGTGTAGATGCATAGCAGAGGAATGTAGATCACTTCCTCTTCGGGTTACACTTAAAGTAAAACGTAAATCGGATCTCCCTGTACAACTCTCTTTTCCTTAACCTGGGAGAATGAGAACTTCTGCGAGAAAAAAATAATTCATTATTTGAGCAAAGTGTAATAATGAAAAGCACAAGTAACCAATGAGAGATATATATATATATATATATATATATATATATATATATATATATATATACACATACAGGTGTTTTTGTTAAATGTAAGCCAAAATCATCACAATTAAAAGAACCAAAGACTTAAACTACTTCAGTCTGTGTGCATTGAATTTATTTAATACACGAGTTTCACAATTTGAGTTGAATTACTGAAATAAACAAACTTTTCCACGACATTCTAATTTATTGAGATGCACCTGTATATAGTCCCTCTAATACACACTATCGTTCAAAAGTTTGGGTTAGTAAATGCAATTGATTAAAAGTGAGAGTAAAGACTTTCATAATGTTAAAAAAAAGAATTAGAATATTTCAAAGAAATACTGTTCCTTTAAACTTTCTATTCATTAAAGAATCTGGGAAAAAAATATCAAAATATAAATGTATCAAATCTAAATGTAATAAAAAAATATTTAGCAGCAAAACTGTTTTCAACAGATCGTGTGACACTGAAAATTCAGCTTTGCTATCACAGAACTAAGTTACATTTTAAATTATGTTAAAATAAAAGTTATTATTTTACAATGTTATTGATTTACTGTATTTTTTATCAAATAAATGCATCCATGGTTCGCGGAAAAAAGTTATTTCAAAAACATTAACAGACCTTACCAACCTTCTTTAACTTTTGAACAGTAGTGTTTATTTGAGTGAATGACATTTCTATTCATTGGTATTTATTACAATTGTTCACAACTGTTCAAAATTCTAATTCTATTCTTAAAAAAAAAAACGTGCCCCTTTTAGACTTGCACTCTAGTCATTTACTAACTGCTTGTTTTCTTAAAAAAAAACACTAGCTTCTCTAATCGTTTTGTATTCTATTGTTTTCTTTTTTATTTATTATACAATTAACAAAAGCAAAAAAGGCCTCTAACACTAGCTTGCTCTATTCTTTTTCTATTCTATCTGTTTTCTTTTTATTTATTATATAATTTAAAACAAAAAAAACAACAACAACAACAACAACAAAAACACCCATGCTACATGTACTGTGTTAAGCTAACTGAGACTTGTTATAGCACTTGCATATCATTGCTCTCTTGTTGATTTTGATAGCTTCCATTGTCAGTCAGTCTCATTTGTAAGTCGCTTTGGATAAAAGCGTCTGCTAAATGACTAAATGTAAATGTCAAACATTTGAATAAGTTTACATTAAAATTGATATAATATACATTAAAAATGCTAGTCACACACACACACAGGGGAAGTCGTGGCCTAATGGTTAGAGAGTCGAACTCGTAACCCAAAGGTTGCGGGTTCGAGTCTCGTACCGGCAGGGATTGTAGGTGGGGGGAGTGAATGTACAGGGCTCTCTCCCACCTTCAATACCACGACTGAGGTGCCCTTGAGCAAGGCACCGAACCCCCAACTGCTCCCCGGGCGCCGCAGCAAAAAATGGCTGCCCACTGCTCCGGGTGTGTGTTCACGGTGTGTGTGTGTTCACTGCTGTGTGTGTGCACTTAGGATGGGATAAATGCAGAGCACTAATTCCTAGTATGGGTCACCATACTTGGCCACATGTCACTTCACTTCACACAATGACTTGAATACACCTCTTCTGTGATTATAATGTTTTTAATTTCTAAATATTATTATTTATTTATTTTTTTTGGTCAATCATGAAAAAGGTCAATCATGTAGAGCAACCTCCAAGGTCATATGGTATGGAAGCCTGTTTCCACCACTGGAAAAAAAAAAAAAAAGAAAAAAGAAATTCGGACTGTTTGTATCACGCAATTCCGAGTTTTTTTCTCGGAATTGCGAGATATAAACTCACAATTGCGAGTTAAAAAGTCAGAATTGCTAGATATAAACGCAATTCTGACTTTTTTTCTCGGAACTGCGTGATACAAACTCGCAATTCTGTTTTTTTTTTCTTTTTCAATTCTGAGAAAAAAACTCACAATTGCGAGTTTGTATCACGCAATTCCGAGTTTTTTTCTCGGAATTGCGAGATATAAACTCACAATTGCGAGTTAAAAAGTCAGAATTGCTAGATATAAACTCGCAGTTGCGAATTATAAAGTCACTATTGCGTGATATAAACTCACGATTCAGAGAAATAAAGTCGCAATTCTGAGAAATAAGGTCGCAATTCTGAGAAATAAAGTGCAACCAACATGTGGAAAAAAATGCATAAAACAGGAAATGACAGACACCCTCATGACAGTGTGTCAAAGTCAACGAGTTTAAAAAATATCAGCTTTTGTTTTTTAATTATTTTTAAGGCAACTTAATATTTTCTTGTAAATCAAATAAAAGTTTTCAAGAACCATATATAAAACTAACATGAATACGAAGAGTACAAACTAGAATTTTTTTATTGTAGACGCAAAACTGTCAAGGACCCACAAGTAATTTGTTAATGAATCAACGGTCTTAGAGACCTGAAATCCTGTAACACTATAATACAAAGGACAATTAGCAGGCAGACTATCAATTAGCAGGTATTTGAAACTGCTAATGCAAAAGGACTCACTCTGTTTGGGGTGATTTTGTAGAGAGTTGCTGTGGAGACCCCACTGGTGTTTGTGCAGAAACTGGTGTAGGAGAGACGGTTAATGCTAGAGCTGTGGCTGGAGCTAACTGACCCTTTGTCAAACCTAGAAAATGATTAAACCTGCAAGAAAAAAAGAGGTTCATAGCAGGAAATACCATGCACAAACTGACTGTTAGAGACTGGTTGCACAGTAACCTCACCTGCTCCAGACACTACCCTTCCCTTCCACAGGGGGGTGCTCTACTTTTATAACTCTAGAGGAGGACAGAATACATTGATCAGTGTGTATACTAGAATTTTCTTTATGTTCTGTGTAAAAAAATTGGTCTGTGCACAAATCACAATCCTAGGGTGTGAGTATTTGTCACAATGTGGTTGATAATGTGCTCTGTGCTCATTTTTGGCGCATTGCTATGAGATTTCTCTGGGAAGTTATTTACTGGCTTAATTCAAAATAGCAAATATACAGACAAGCCACATGATTTGTTGCATCATTAATACCCATACCGCACCACTTACGATGAAGGTTAACAGATCAGTTAACAGATCAGTCTGAACATTTCTGTTGAAGACTTAAGATTTGCATTTGAGTGTAACACCTCTGAAGCTGAGCACGCCGCAGAGATTCCTGCAGTTCGAACAGTCGCTCTTTGTACTGATTCTTCTCCATGACGACCCGGGCCATTTCAGAACGAGAGAAGCGACGGAGGGAAGCAGGTAGCGAGGCCTGGAGAGAACAAGAGAGAATGAGGCAGGAATTTCGGACTGATTTCAGTGTTTCTTGGAAACAGGATAGTAGAATTTCCAGAATAGTAATATCCATAAACATCTCTGAAATCTTTCATAAAGACTTACATCAGGGTCCTCTGACTGGACTGTCTCAAGCTCTTTTCGTAATCTGTTTTAAAATATAAAAAACTATTTAATAAGAAAACATATATATATATATATATATATATATAAAAAAAACAAAACAAAAAAAAACACAGACT